AGGATAATTATAATTTTTCTTTTACGACTCAGTATAACATCCAACACTGGAAAATAAAAAAGGTTCTTAATAAACACTGGAACATTTTATGTCAGGATCCAATTTTGGGCAAAGTATTACCAAAAAAAATACCAATCATTTTCAGGAGAACAAAAAATCTAAAAAATGTATTAGCACCAAGTTACGCTTTAAAAATTCCATATAAGGGTGTGACCCCAAACATCAGTGGTTTCAACCCTTGCAATTCTTGCAAAGCTTGTAAAAATCAAAAATTTATTCAAAAAAAAGAATTTATGAGTTTCACTACAAAGGAGAAATTCAAAATCAAATCTAATATAAATTGCAATACGAGAAACGTGGTATACATGTTACAATGCCCGTGTGGGAAACAGTACGTGGGGAGAACATGTAGAAAGTTGAAAGAGAGAATTTTAGAACATCAAAACAATATAAGAAAAAAATTAGTTAAACATATAGTACCATTACATTGCAATACTTGCAATAAATTTGATTGGCAAAGTTTTATTTTTTTGGGCATAGAACATGTGGATCCACATTGGAGAGGAGGAAATTTAACCAAAAAGCTCTCCCAAAGAGAGACTTTTTGGATCAACAAACTAAAAACACTCCAACCTTTTGGTTTAAATTTAGATATTGATTTATGGAGTTTCTTTGAAGATTGAGAGAACCACTTAATTTACATTCTGATGTTCGGGAAAACACTGCACCTTTCTCTCATTCAATTAATAATAAATAAAAATCTTATTTTTTATTATTAATTATTATTTATTATTATATATTTTTTATTATTATTATTATTATTTTTTATTATATTCATTTATTTTTGTTTCGAGTTGTAAATTTATTTTATTTATCTTTAAGAATGGGATAAAGAGTGCAATATAAATAGGTTATATTACTTATATTAATGTCTATATATCATATATGTATGTATATGGTTTGTTATATATTTTATAATCATTTAAAAATGTTAGACTATCATATTATTATTCATGCAGTTTATGAAATAAGATGCTATTTCCATATAAATCATAAGAAGGAAATGTGTGTGGCAAATATGTGAAAAAATGTTTTATATAACTTGTACCCAATGAAAATGGGATATATATATGTATAGACACATGTATCCATAACTTTAGATTACATGGAGAATGTACATTTTTTATTTTGATTTGTAGTGCCATCCAGAGTATATTCTTTTAATTGCTTGTCCCTCCCCTCTCCGTTTTATCCACCTGCCTATATATTCTCTGAGCTAATGCATTAGAATAGGAGAAAGCAACAGACGATCGCGACCCACTTCCGGGTTTGCGGAACGCAAGGTGGAACGCACGTGACCCACTTCCGGGTCTGTGGAACGCAAGGTGGAACGCACGCGACGCACGCGACGCACGCGATGACGTCACTCGGTTCCATACCGCCGAAAAGAAAATTGAACACCAGCTGAAAGAACTTAAAGATTAAATGGGGGTGTATATAAAGGACTGTGGGGGGGATATTGTTATTATTGCTGCTATTTTTGATTGCACTTTATCACACCAAGTCCCTGAGGAAGTCCAATTTCAGGACGAAACGCGTAGGACGTGTATGGTGATATGCTGTTTGTTTTATACCTAAATGTAAGTCATTAAATATATTTTTTAACATATTCTGGAAGTGCACTACATTTTTGTACATTTTCTCTTTTTGAGACACACATATCTATTTCGCTGATGAATATGTGAGGAGAGACAACATACTGGATACTGAATAACACCATTTAAAGCTGCTCTAATTCCATAAAGACATCATTCAAGGCTATCTTAAATCTTCAAAATTGTGAGTGACCATTTGTGATCACACATCAATACCAGTCTCCACACAGTTATATGCTATGTTTTTTATTTGTATTTAGCAGATTGTCCCCTATTTTTCTGTGTATATCTATTGAAGACAAGAGGAAGTCTTCGGGGATTCATCCGGATACTTCACCTTAAGATAAGGGAAGTTTTGGTTTGCTCCTATATTTTATTATTCTCACTGGGGTTGTGTTCACATATATTGTTGTTTTCTCACGTACAAGAATCCCTGAAGTGGTGGACCCAGAAAGAGTCTCTCTTCAGAGGTTATCCCTTAGGAAATATTCCATGGATCATCATCACCACAGATGCCAGTCAATGGGGCTGGGGAGCCCACCTTCAAGACAACTATGTTCAGGGGAAATGGACATTTTCAACCTCCAACACCCCTTCGAATCTTCTAGAACTTCTGGCAGTTTTCAAGGCTCTAATGCACTTCCAGCAACTTTTACTTCACAAATGGGTCAAGATCAGGACAGACAATGCCACAGTTGTGGCATATATAAATCACCAAGGAGGGACGAGAAGTTGCAGAATGATGAAACTTATGAAACCTTTGATGTCCTGGGCTCAAATGAATTTGGAGAATATCTCTGCAATACATCTCCCAGGAACTCAGAACTCTGTGGCAGACTTTCTCAGCAGGGTGAGATTAGACCCGGGAGAATGGAGTCTATCAGACATAATATTTTCTACAGATCGTAGAAAAATGGGGCCTTCCCCAGATAGATCTAATGGCTACAAGCAACAACAGAAAAGTCAAGAACTTCTTTTCGAGAATTCCAGATCCCCAGGCCATAGGAAGAGACGCATTGACATGCAGTTGGAACTTCGACCTGGCTTATGCCTTTCCTCCAAAACCCCTCATCTTCCCTCTGCTAAGGAGACTACGACAAGAGAAGGCATCACTGATTCTAATAGCCCCTTTTTGGCCTCGCAGACCTTGGTTCCCGCTCCTACTAAGTCTGTGCAAGAAGGATCCATGGCGTCTTCCAGTTGTCCCATTCCTGTTACATCAGGGTCCAATTCATCATCCAAACCCAGCATCCCTTCGTCTGATGGCATGGTACTTGAAAGGGATGGGTTAAAGAACAAGGGGTTTTCGAGATCAGTAATCGAGACACTTCTTCAAGCAAGGAAGAAGTCCACTTCATCCACTTACTACAGAATATGGGATGTATTTTCTTCATGGGCCAGTTCAAGTCCCTTTGATATTTTGAACCCTTCAACTACTGACATTCTTGATTTTTTACAATCAGGTCTAGAGAAGGGATTGAGTTATAACACTTTAAAAGTACATATTTCAGCCCTCTCTGCTTTAACTAATCATAGATGGGCACTGGATCCGGACATAGCTAGATTTCTGACTGTAGTCCTCAAGATCAAGCCACCCATTAAGTCTATTACTCCGCCATGGGATCTCCCTCTGGTCCTGAAGGCTCTTAAAGCAGATCCTTTTGAACCTATGGCATCAATTTCCTGTCATCTTCTCACGATCAAGACAGTTCTACTAGTAGCCCTAGCCTCTGGTAGAAGGGTTTCTGATCTTCAGGCTCTTTCGGCTCGAGAACCTTTTACGATATTTCATAAGGACAGAGTCATCCTGAGAACGGTTCCAGAATTCCGCCCTAAGGTAACTTCAGAGTTCCATATGAATGAAGAAATAATCCTTCCAGCATTAAGTACAGAAGAATCTAATAACGGGGAAAACGCTGATGATGATGCTATCGACCTAGTAAGATGTCTTAAGATATATATACAAAGATCCTCAGAATGGCGTATTTCGGAAAGGCTTTTTGTTATTCCTAATGGCCCTAGGAAGGGTCTGCAAGCTTCGAAAGCCACTATCAGCAGATGGATAGTTTCGGCCATTATCCAATCTTATAGATCATCTAATACAAGTGTTCCTGAAGGTTTGAAAGCTCATTCTACACGTTCCCTTTCTTCATCCTGGGCAGCTGCAGCAAAGGTTTCTACAGAACTGATTTGCAAAGCAGCCACTTGGTCATCTTCTAATACATTTATTAGACATTATCGTTTAGATGTAAGAGCTGGCCAATACGATGGATTTGGCAGATCAGTTCTTTCTGCCTCAAAGGATTAACTACTATTCTTTTTGTTCATCACATTGAGTTGTTTGTGACAATACACTTGCATTATATAATAATGTGTCTGAGTTTTTCTTTCCCTCCCTTGGTTTTAGCTTGGGTATTACCCATTGTTGTGCTGCCATGGATATGGCCAGGAAAGAGATAAATTTACTCATACTTACCGTAATTTTCTTTTCCTGGTCATAGGCCATGGCAGCACAAAGGTCCCACCCAGGGATATTGCTGTTAACTAGACTGAGGGATGAGGAGGTAGGAGGGGGTATTTGTACCCTTATTTTAATTAGTTCCTGTCTAACTAGGGATAGGGGAGGAGCTACCCATTGTTGTGCTGCCATGGCCTATGACCAGGAAAAGAAAATTACGATAAGTATGAGTAAATTTATCTATATATATATATATATATATATAAATTCCAAAAATAAAGTGGGTGCACTCACAGGATTTTTATGGAAAAAAGTTAATACTTTTTATTGCATGTGAGCAAAATAAATAACACTCTGTCCCAATCGAAGTTTCGACCCCAATCTGGGTCTTTCTCAAGATCAACAAGTGAAGCAAAAAAATACATAATATATATAGAAAAGAATAAAGTGACTTACCAATCCAAGTGAAAATTCAGAGTGTGCCCGTACCCAGAAGTGTTCATGCGGGACACGTGACCCCCGGTAACGTAGAGGCGTATAACGCCGTAGTATGTGCGGTCGGTTGCTAGGGAACATCAAAACAACCGACTGTTGAAATCAAGTGTTGAGTGCATTGAAAGAAGTGTATACATAAGTAAGATCCATACCCGTGTATGAAATAGTGCTTGAATAAGCACTCTAAATACAAGTGATAATTAAAATAAAAAAATATGGAGGAATGCCAAAAAATGTAATTCAAAATAATAGATAAAGCATTGTGGATAGACCCCTGTAGCAATCAGGCTCATCTGCCCCCTCCCCCCCACCCCCCAAAGAAAGAGAGAAAGAGACTGCAACCACAGACCAAGTGTAGTGAACATATCGTGACTACTGAAGTGCCGCGGCATATGCTAAGGCAGTGATACATATTGTTGCAAACATATTTAAACAGGACTTAATGCGAAGAATAAAATGCACAGTCTTATATATAGGGGCAGCTACAGAGATAATCCTACTGGTGTGTCAATCCTTATGCTAAAAAAATAGAAACGATATGTAGTATGAGCTATCTACTAATGCAATATTGCACAGAAATTAGGAACAAGAGACTGGCCAAAGAGAGATTTATAAATGCTAAACTAGCTTATTAATCTATTTGTATATTGTCACAAAGCTATTGCCACTATTCTAGTGGCCAAATTAGTACTATTGTTATCAGAGGCGGCTCTAGACTTTATGAGGCCTTAGGCGAAACTCAAACATGAGGCCCCACTAACAAAAAAGTGTCACATATACACATTGAGGCACTGTCTACCTGTGTATGTGCCTGAGAGTGTGTCTGACAGAGAGTATCCTTGTGTGTGTGAATGTATGTCTCTATGAGCATGTTTGCGTTTTTGTCTGAGACCGTATGTGTATGTGTATGGGGTAGCTGCTTGAAGTGTGTTGTGTGTATGGGGGGTGATGGTGAGAGGGAGAGGGGGTGATGTGAGAGGGAGGTGATGGGGAGAGGGAGGGGAGGTGATGGTAAGAATGAGGGGAGGTGATGGTGAGAATGAGGGGAGGTGATGTGAGAATGAGGGGAGGTGATGGTGAGAATGAGGGGAGGTGATGTGTGAGAATGAGGGGGTGGTGAGAATGTGATGTGAGAATGGGGGGATGTGAGAATGAGAATGAGAAGGGGATGTGAGAATGAGGGGGGATGAGATGGATGTGAGATGGAGGGGATGATGCTGAGGGGGTTGGGGGAGGGTGATGCTGAGGTTGGGGAGTGATGCTGAGGGGGTGGGAGGTGAGGCTGAGGGGGTGGGGAGTGAGGCTGAGGGGTGGAGGCTAGGCGGTATGGGGGTGAGGCTGAGGGGGGTGAGGCTGAGGGCGGTGTGGGGGTGAGGCTGAGGGGGGTGGGCAGGGCCGGCGCGTCCATAAGGCGGCAGAGGTTGTTTGTGTGTGTGTGTGGTTCTGTCAGTGTGTGTGTGAGTATGTGTGTCTGTCAGTATGTGCATGTGTGCATGTGAGTACGTGTGTCTGTCAGTGTCTGTGAGTTTGTGTGTGTGTGTGTCAGTGTGTGTTTTTCAATGAGTGTCAGTGTGCGTGTGAGTGTCTGTCAATGAATGAGTGTGTCAGATAAGTGAGTCTGGCTGTCAGAGATGTCTGTGTGTTTGTCATTGAGTGTGTGTGACTGTCAGTGTTTATACACCCCTGACTGTAGCGTGGCCAAGCGGAGTGTACCGTGGTACAGGAACTTCTGTTTCCTGTACCTGGCAGAACTTACAGGAAAAGCTCACTGTACCGGGATTCGCTCCGCTCAGCCACGCTACAAAAAAAGGTAGGAGGCACACCAGGAAGGGGAGGGGACCACTATGGGGGTGGGTGGCGCACCAAGGGACAGGGAGAGGAGGGGAGAGATACCCTAAGGTACAGGAAAAGGAGGGAGGGGGGGAGAGGAACACTAAGCGACAGCCAACAGATGGGGGAGGGGAGAGGAACACTAAGGGACAGGGAAAGGAGGCGGGAAGGGAAAGGAACAGTAAGGGTCCGAGAAGGGAGGGGACCATTAAGGGACGGGGAGAGGGGCCAGATGTGAAAGAAACTTGAGAAGGAAAGAGACACACACAAAGGAGCTGGGAAGAATAAAAGACACAAATGGGCTAGGAGAAAAGGAGTCACACAAAGGGGCTGGGAGGAGTAAGACACAAAATGTGGGAGGATGTAAGAGTCATACAAAGAGGAGAGATAGGAGACACACAAAGGCAAAAATAGGAGATAAAATACACTAAAGGGAATCAGATATTTAAAAGACGGGATAAGAAACACAAAAGGGAGGTTAAGAGGCACATGGGTGAAGATGTTTTTGGGGGGGCAGAAAAATGCATCTTTGCCTATGTACCCAAAATCCTTTGCACCGGCCCTGGGGGTGGGGGGTGATGCTGAGGGGGTTGGGGGTGAGACTGAGGGGGTGATGCTGAGGGTGGTGTGGGGGTGATGCTAAAGGGGTGGTGGGGGTGATGCTGAGGCGTGGGGTGATGCTGAGGGGTGGTGAGGGGGGTGATGCTGAGGATGGGGTGGTGGGGGGTGAGGCTGAGGGTGGTGGTGAGGCTGAGAGTGGTGGTGGGGTTGGTGAGGCTGAGGGTGGTGGTGAGGCTGAGGGTGGTAGGGGGGTGGTAAGGTTGGTGAGGCTAAGGGTGGTGTGGGGTGGTGAGGCTGAGAGTGGTGGGGGTGAGAGAGAACCTACCTTTATTCCCTGGTGGTCCAGTGGGCTCCCTGGTAGTCCGGTGGCCATTGCTTCCGGTCTGCAGCTCTGCAGAGCTGCAGACCATGTAATCTCGCAAGACCATCAGAGCATTGCCGTGGTAACCCACGGCAACGCTCTGATTGGCCGGTTTTCGCGAGACACATGGTCTGTAGCTCTGCTCACTGACCGAGGACCTGACACAGTCTGCCCACAGGCGGTTTAGACGGCCGTGAGGCCCCAGCCAGGGCGAGGCCTTAGGCTAATAAGAGAGCCGCCTCTGATTGTTATATATGTGTGTATGTGACAAGCAGACTGTCTTTTCCAGACAGGAACAGTCCTGGAATTGGTTACAAACCGGGTCCTGTACACCATGACAGACAAAAAAAAAAAAAATCAAAGAAATGGTTACATGATAAACCCTATTATTCATTAGCTTAACCAGGGGAGAGAAAACATAACTTGAATACGACATGTAGATTAACAAAGGAAATTCCTTTCTGGTCTCCCACTTAAAGTATGAAGGATAACTGAGTTCTACAGGATACTATACATATATACACACATGGTGTACTGATCATACTGATGTGGCATCTAATCATACAAAGAGATATAGCGTGTGAGATGTCCTATATTAGCCCGTAATAAAAAAGATCTATATATATGTGTGTAAGGCAAAAGATCACTATTCGGTTTTAAGTAAAGGACTTACCTTTGTACCTGTATCCAAAACTTCCTCATTTAAAACAGACATCGAGCTGTATAAATTGCAGAGAACTCTTATCAGCCATGAAATACGGAAGGATTCAGACTTATCATCTATCACTCCATTCTTCTCTAAACAGAAGACAGACATCAACATCACAAACCCAGCAATTAAAACGTTCATTCAAGCTATTAAAGGTGACATTACCAATATTGTTCAACACTCTCCTCAACACAGACATAACCTTACTAAGTCTGAGAGAACAGCGTTGAAAGATCTGCAAAAGGATTCACAAATTGTAATACGACCGGTGGACAAGGGAGGAGTGGTGGTCATTCAAATGTACCAAAATTACAAACATGAAATCCTTAAACAACTGGAGGACCGCAATACATACCGAAGACTGACATATGACCCGGTGTCACAATTTCAAAAACGAATTGATGAACACATACAAATGGGATTACAGTTGGGGGTCATCGACTTCAAAACAGCAAAGTAGTTATACGTTGAACACCCTAAACATCCAGTGTTATACACGATTTCAAAAATATATAAGAATCCCATACAACCACCTGGCAGACCGAAAGTTTCTGCACGAGATGACTAATTAGAACCCATAGCCAAATTCATCGACTGGTACATTAAAGAAAATTTCAAACAGCTGTCTATCTGTTTTAAGAGACACTCCAGATCTCCTCTCCAGGGTTAAATTAATGAGATTCAATAAGGATGAAAATATACTACTTGTCACACTGGATGTTCAGAGTCTTTATACGATAATCCACCATGAGCAGGGGATCGATGCTCTAAGAAACATTCTACTGAGTTTGCAGGTCTACCAGGGACCACCCATCTAGTACTTGTTGGAATTTCTACAGATTGCCTTAACATGCAATTTTTTTAAGTTTGAAGACCATTTCTACTTACAGACCTTGGGCAACACGATGGGAGCGACAATGGCTCCTTCATACGCCAATGCGTACATGTATTGGTTTGAGAAACTGTACATATTACCAAAATATGACAAGTACATAATTGAGTCTGATTTGTGGATGATATACTCATACTGTGGAGAGGCACGTTACCAGAACTAAATTAAATGATTGAGTACAATCATTTACCAACAACAGTTCGCTTTACAGCCACTTCGAGTGTCACAGATATACAATTCCTGGATGTTACTCTATATAAACAAGACGACCATCTGGGTTCTACTCTCCATCGAAAACCCACAGACAGAAACATCTTACTGGAAGCTACCAGTTTCCACCCACACCCATCGAAAAATTCTCTACCAATTTCTCAGTATATGAGGGTCTTTCGGTATAACAGCGACCTGGTGAACAGAGAAGAACAGCTACAAGAAATGAGCTACAATTTTATGGAAAGAGGGTATCAACCTCAGATACTTGACAATGCGAAACAGAGAGCCTTAACGATTTGTCGGAATGACCAAAAAAAAATGTCACTAGCACCTATAGACAAAGTTCCTCAAATATTTTTACCACTCACTTACCATACGGGTTCAGTTGAGATGAAGAAGTCTGTATATAAATATTGGGGGATACTCAGCTCAGACAGGAGTTTAGCGGACATCTTTAAGCGGCCACCCATTATCAGTTTTAAACGAAACCAAAATCTCAAGGATGTATTGGTTAAAAGTGATCCAACCACATGCTACAGCAAACCGAAAGGATATACCAAAAAGGGTTGTTTTAAATGCAGTGTCACCTGTAGCCACATGGTCAGTGGGGCTACCTTTGCACATCCCCATAGTGGAAAAAGAATCGCTATTAATCACTACATCACCTGCATGATCGATCATGTCATATATCTGATCACATGCCCATGTGGGCTATCATACGTGGGCAAAACTGATCTCACGGTTCGAGATCGAATCAGAGGACATAGACCAGGGATCATGACTGCATTCTGAGACCAAAGAATGGACAAACCAGTGGCTAAGCATTTTTTAGCAGCTAATCACCGTTTACCAACTTTACGGTTCATTGCCATAGACCACTTACCACCATCACCAAGAGGAGGAGACAGATTGAGATTGTTACTTCAAATGGAAGCAGGATACACAAACTGGTTACAGTAACACCAAGGGGACTAAATGAACAGATTTCATACTCTATGTTCTTGTAAATCGACACAGCATTGAGACTTTACAGGTCAATGACATTACATTATTGTTTGGGATTGATATCTCCAATATCTGGAAAACTAGAGGAATATAAATTTTTGACATGGACATTTTTTTTTTGTTCACATTTTTATGTAAAAAAAGTTTTATGTATTTTTTAATTTTTTATATTTTTTATATTTTCTGGTTATTTATTCATGTGGTATTTTTTATATTTTACTTTTTATTTTTTATTTATTATTCATTTTTTATTTTACATTTATTTTTTTTTATATTTATTTGTTACATTGATCTATTTATTTGTTCGTGTTTTGCTACAAGGGGTTTTAGAATTGGAACTCAACTGCAGCTTGTAGAACTCCTTAATTACAATAGCAAGAAAGCGGAGAATTATTAAGGATACTGTAGCTTTAAAGCAAAGTGGTGGTTGCGGGTAGTTAGTGAAGAAAGCGAAGTCTTAATGAATGCAATAATATTTTAGTAACTGAGAATTATAGCATGCAAATAACAATGCATTAGGAAGTAACTGCAGGTTATATCAAGCAAGAAACAGTTCATTAGTAATTAAATCTTCAGAGGTGGAAGTGAATAGTATACTTAAGATTGATGGGAGTTGTCCTCCATGGGAATGGCATGTAAGTAACAATTCATTAGGAAGTAACTGAAGATTATAGCAAGCAAGAAGCAGTTCATTAGTAAGTCAGTCTTCAGAGATCAGAGTAATTAGTATACTTAAGATTGATGGGAGTTGTCCTCCATGGGAATGTATAGCTTGAATCCAAGGGATGAATGATATACACAGTCCGGTTTTCAGGAGACTCCAATACAATCCGTGGTCAGAGGTACAGAGAAGGCAAAATCCTTTATAATAGTCAAAGGTTTGGTAACTTTGTGAACGAAAAGCTTAGCCGGCGTTTGAATGCGGAAGTAGGTCCGAGAATCACCAAGCGGTTTGAATCTGGCGTGGTCTCTCTACATAGCGTAAGAGAGCCGCGTCAGAAAGGGGGCGGGACCGGCTGCGCATACCGGGAACGCCGGAAAGGAGTCAGAACAGATACGGCCCGACAGGACCCCCCACCTAAGGAGCACACTCAGGGTGCTATTACCTTGGTTTATCAGGGTAGCGTTTGAAAGGCAGAGATCAACTTTTTTGCATGAACATCAGAAGAATTCTCCCACGTGTTATCTTCAGTCCCATAACCCTTCCATTTGATAAGATATTGTAAGTTACCTCTATGAAGTCTTGAGTCAAGAATTTTTTCTATTTCATATTCCATTTCACCTTGAACTATGATAGGGTCAGGCTTTGACAGTTGTTCTCTATGGAAGGGATCAGGGAGAAAAGGCTTTAGAAGGGAAACATGAAAAACAGGATGAAGCTTAAGTGAAGGAGGGAGTTTCAACTTCATAGTGCTTTCATTAATAATGGATGCAATTTGAAAAGGACCAAGGAAGAGAGGACTCAGTTTCTTTGAAGGACGGGTTGTAGAAATATTCTTGGAGGATAGCCAAACAGTATCACCAACTTTATATTTAAGAGGAGCTCTCCTTTTAATATCATAATTATTTTTATGCAAGACCATAGAACTTTCAAGGTTTTTCTTCAACTGATTAAACAATGAGGACATTTCCTTATTTTGAATAGAAACCATTGGGTTAGAAGTTGCCTTGGGATCATCCGGAAACAGAGAGGGATGGAATCCATAATTTGAAAAGAATGGAGTAATTTTGCTGCTTGAGTGTATGGAATTATTATAGGCAAATTCAGCCATAGGTAACCAATTAATCCAATCATCTTGTAAATACGTGCAATAACAACGAAGGTATTGTTCCAGACATTGATTGACTCGTTCTGTTTGGCCATTGGTTTGAGGATGGTATGCAGAAGAGAGTTTACGTTGGATTTGAAGTGAGGAACACATTTCCTTCCAGAATCGTGAAGTGAATTGGGTACCTCTGTCTGAGATTATTTCTTCAGGAAATCCATGTAATTTGATTATATTGTCTATGAAGACTTTGGAAAGTTCGGAGGATGAGGGTAATTTCTTTAAGGGAATAAAATGAGACATCTTTGTGAAACGGTCTACAACGACAAGTATGGTGGTGTATTTCTGTGAAGGAGGGAGTTCCACCATAATATCCATAGAAATATATTGCCAAGGTCTCACAGGGACTGGTAACCCCATCAATAATCCGTAAGGAAGGTGATGTTCTGCTTTGGATCTTTGACAAACTGGACAAGACTTAACATAAGTTTCAATGGTTTTATCTTGACGAGGCCACCAATATTGTCTAGTTGAGAGTTCAATTGTCTTTTTAATCCCGGGATGTCCAGCAAGTGGAGAGTCATGAATTAATTTTAGAAGTTTGTTCCATAGTTTTGGAGGAATAGAAATCCTATTTTTGAAATAAAAGATTTCATCTTTTTTGAATAATTTAGGTGTGGAAGGTAATTCAAGTTCTTTGAGAGATAATTGTTTTAGTTCATCCAATACGGTAGTTGTAAGTCCAATAAGAGACTTATTGAGACTTGAGAAGGTTTTCCCTTCTGAAGAAGGATTACAAAGAATTATGGAAAGAGCATCAGCTTTTTTGTTACAAGATCCAGGTCTATAGACTATTTGAAAATTGAACCGATCAAAAAAAAGATTCCATCTTATTTGTCTGGAGGATAAAGTTTTGTTGGAATGGAGGTATTCAAGATTCCTGTGATCTGTATAAATGATGATAGGAATTTCATTTCCCTCTAGAAGGTGACGCCAATTCTCAAAAGCTACTTTTATGCATAACCATTCTTTTTCTCCGATAGGATAGTTCTTCTCAGCTGAGGTTAAAGATCTTGAAAAAAAAGCGACAGGATGGAGAGGATCTTGAGGAGTCTTTTGTTGAGAGAGAACTGCTCCAATAGCATTTTCAGATGCGTCTACTTCTAGAACATAGGGATATGAAGGATTTGGAAGGTGTAATACAGAAGCAGTTGTAAATCTATTTTTTAATTCATCAAAAGCTTTTTGAGCCTGGTTATTCCAACTAAAGGGATGTTTGTTTCCAGCAAGGATATGGAGAGGATGTGCTATCTCAGAGAAATTCTTGATAAACTTCCTATAAAAATTTGCAAAACCGAGAAATCTCTGTACATCTTTGGTAGATGAAGGAATTGGCCAATTAAGAATGCAGTTTATTTTTGAATCATCCATACTTATTGAATGAGGCGAAATAACATAGCCAAGAAAATTGAGTTCTTTAACTTCAAATAAACATGTTTCTGGTTTAGCATATAGTTTGTGAATTCTTAATCGGGATAACACAGAGCGTACATGTTTCCTATGATCTTTAAGGTTATCAGAATA